GCAAAAAAGAGCAATTAGATGCCTTGCCGACCTGAACTACAGAGACAGTTGCCGAGAAGCCTTCAAGAACCTTAAAATTCTCACATCAATTTCACTCTACATAAGAGAAGTCATTATCCACACCACTAAAACAGCCCAGCCAAGACACAGAGACATACACCAGCACAACACACGACATGCCGCCAATTTTTCCCTCCCACAACACCATCTGAGTCTGTACGAGAAGAAACCATCCTACAAAGGTGCTCTGTACTTTAACAACCTACCAGAGCACCTCAAGAGAGAACAACCCAATCTGCTCAAGAAGCACCTGACAACATGGCTTATGGACCGGCCGTTCTACTCTGAGGATGAATTCTTAAACAATAAGCTACCATGAAAAAAAGAAGAAAAAAAATCTAATTGTAATTGCAAATTACTGTAATAGTTTACGTACATACTGTACATTTTATGTACCTGACGCATGAATGTTCTCTAGGAATATTTCAATAAAGATTTTGTCTATTGTCTATTGTCTATTGTCTATCCTATCTATACTCTCCACGCAACCACAGAAAACATACTACTATAACCGAGTATGTTTTCTGTGACGCAACATAGGCTTAGGCCTAATTAGTTAAGAGGCGGCAGGAGTCAGGTTGAAAATCGTCAATCTGCGACTCCTGCATTTGTACGGTCCGCAACCCGCACGGCTAGTTTCTGACCTTGAGCCTATTGATCGTAACTTCCATGTATAGAGCAGTGTTGAAAAATGGACAGTTCGTACATTTCTAAATGGTGCAATACTGTGGCCGACGCGACGGGTCGAATGAATCTGTCTTTTTACACAAACAAACATTCGGCCTGCAATGCTACGCTAATTTTTAACGTACAAATTTAATTTATACGTTTTAAAATTTTATTTTTTTAGTTTTAAAATGTATGTAGTGCGTGCGAGAAGCCGGTAATTATTACTATATTATTTTGGTAAAACTGAATTAAATTTGAAATTTTACGTTTATGCAAATATGCAATTTATTTCATAGCTTTATTTATTTATTACTTTATTTATTTCATAAATGAGATACCATAATTAATTGTTGTTTTTCAATTTATGTTTTATTACATTACGTTAAAAGTTCTTCTATGGAATTGAGTTTTCATTTACACTCAATTTATATAACTGAGTTTAAATAATTTGATGGAAATGGGTATGGTCAATTCAATACTCATGTTTTCCTTTAGAAAACTATTTATTTCGGCTTTACAATGTAGTTGATTTTAATGAGTCTTTTCCAAAAAAAATCAAAACAAACATGTATTAAAAATAATTATATGTACAAAAATGAATGATCATTTTACAAGCTATGATGACATTTAACCATCGCTTTTGTTTGTCTTCTTAGATGCTTTTTGCTTATCCTGGGCATTAACAATATACGACGGATTTCGGATTTCCATTGATCTGCAATGGCGGGGATCAATTAATTCAGGTAGAATGCAATTGAGATAAAATCTCTCTAACTTAGGGACCATGTTATTTTGCCAGAACTCATCATCTCGTTCGATTTTTTCCATTTTTATTCCTTTAGTTGTCCACAGCACAAACTGGCAATAACGTCGTTTTGTAATGCTCAACTGGCCTTGCATTTGGTAGTAAAAGTCATGCCCCTTATTTATTTCACCAATCGTTCCGTCCTTTTCCTTTTTCCAAAATGTACATTTTCTGGAGATGACTGCTTCATCCGGTGTCAGGTTTTTGCATGAAGATGGGCATTTGATCTCAATCAAGCCATCATCGTCGATTAACCCATCAGGAGATGCCCCTAAAAAAGGTTTTTCGTCGTCGATAAACAAGCCGCATGGTTGTATCGTTTTCTGTAATAAAGAAGCAGCTTCTTCTCTGGCCACCGGTTCATTTTGGCGGCCGTAGGCCATTGACTCACAGTCAAAAGTAGAGTATAATAATTGCTTTACCAACGAACCACAACCGGTCGTTGGTTTCATTTTACATACACGCCCAAAATTAGAGGCGGTCAATAGGTTACGGCGTATTTCAAGCCACTCTCCACTGTCACTCTGTTCGACAGTGGCTCGCTCGATTCGAATTCTTTCCTCTTCTGATCGTTGAAGTTTTTTTAGAAATTCTTCGGTTTCCATTTTCATTGTTTCCTCGTCGATGTCCGGCTTTTGGGCTGCTACGCCATAATCCGCATCGTTGTTAGAGCTCACCTGAAACAATGTCTTTCTTGATTTTTTCTGTCCCTGTCCTTTCTCAACCTTTCTTTTTCTTTTCAAACCTGTACTTTTGGTATAATATCCAGGGCTAGCTTTGTACATGTGCTTGTGGAGTACGTAGTGGGTGTTTCCTGTATTATGTTGAAGAACTGCCGCTGAACACCGTCCTTGGTACGATCCTCTCATGGCGAAGTTCACCCGTTTTCCTCCTATGTACTTAGCCACGATCGAATTGTAGTGCTCAACTGCATTAGAGGTTACATCCGTGATTAAACTCCGTGAATGGCGGCTCAGGTCACGAATAACATCACAGATTAAATTATACAATCCAGCGGACACTAACTGTGGAACAAAATTTCCTTCACTATTTACATCTTGCGCTTCCTTTGTACAAAAGTATCCCCTTTCTCTACAATGCTCATGCTGTCCAAATACATGACTGGGTACATTCAAAATATCCAGCCTCAGCTGTTTAATCTTTTCTACGTTTGGCAAATCTTGTTTCTTCCTGTATTCCTGGGCTTTTTGGACAGCCATTCTACAACGGAAAACGTTTTCACCCAATTTTTTTCTCATAAGGATACTGTTTTTGTTTTTGTTCGATGTAACTGCAATTTGCCTTAGCTTGTTGGAGAAGTTTCGCAGCAAATGGTTCTTACATTCTATTTTTTCAACAGTAATACTTTTATATGGTCTGCTCTCTCTAATCCTTTTGTATACGCTACTGTCGCCGTCTGCGATAAGACGAGCGTATCTCACTCCATACATCTCTTCACTACGTTGAAAGCCGTCTGCGATGATGGCAGGTTCCATGCTAGAAGAGCTCTGGGTTGACTCCCAGTTTTTGTAGCAGGTATGCTCTGTTGGCTCCTTTCCTAAAGATGCAGCTCGGGAGCATGGAGTGCAATATTTATTCTTCACTCCCATGTACAGCACCTTTTTTGTATTGTGGCCGACAATAGCCGCCTGTAAATAAAAACCTTAGTAGTACACATTACATACACGCGTTAGTTGCCAATTTTTTATAATAGCATGGTATAATAGCATTGAGCATGGCCTCCACCTGTTGCCATAGTTCCACTAACAGCACTTGTATTTACATCCATCAAATCATTTTTCTTTGTTTCTGACCAAATAACCTTTGTTATGTTGCACATGGAACATTTAAATACAAAACCACTCTTCAGTCCAACTCTCTTTTCCCGCAAAAATGTCAAATCTTTGAAACTACAACCTGTGGGACTATGATTATCTAATTCTTTCACTTGATCGAAAATATCTTTAATCGTCACTATTCTACGACCACACAGCATTGAGACGTGAGAAGTTTCTGTTGCGTCTTTCTCCCCATCGTGACTTGGTTCTTTCCTGAAAATACAAGAGATATGATGGTACAATGCTAATGCGTCAAACGTCAAACTGACAAAAAATATATATATTTTTTAAGTTTGGACAGTAAATACCTACTACAAATTATTGTAGGCCTCATTTAAAAGTCCCTCTTAAGTCACAGTGAAGTTAATTGAATTGCACATAATTATTTTTTGAATTACAGTACTAATACCACAATAAGTCTCCTATATAGTATCCAGGCCTATTCTAAAATCAAGACTAAATATTATGCATACTTACTTCTTATCATCAAAGTATTTTTTTAAATAGGAAGGCAGCTTCCGCTTTTTCGTCCTCGACGGGAACTTCTTCAGATGACCCATCACGGTTTGATAGAAACAACTCAATAATACTGACACTGCCAAAATTGTTGATCTTCCGATGTAGACTTTGCTAAGTGTGGGTTTATACTAAAATTTGTATTTTGCGCGCCTTTTCTTTCACATCGACGCTAGTGCTATCTGTGTGGAGAACGCTGAACTGTTACGCCGCCCCGCGCTGCGCGTGAGGGGGTTGCAGTTGTAGAGTTATTTTAAAACAACGAAAAACATTGAAACCAATTCACTTTTCAAGAAAACTAAAAAGTAGTTTTAAGACTGAATATATAAGGTTACTTGTAAGCCAAATTTCACAATTTTACGATAACGTTTACCTACTGTAACATTGAACTAGTTCTGTCAAATCCTTATGGAAAATAATATTTTTTATTTCAACAAAAACAAATTAAAAAAAAAATTTTTTTTAATGTTTTTGCATGCTACACGTAGGTTAAGTTATGCTTTTTAATACTACTTTTTGATCCATGCCAAATACGCAATCGTTTAATTGCAGTTAAGTGAAAAGTAAATTAGTCCCATGTTAAATAGCAGGCCCTGCCAGTAGCGTGGTGGTTGACTCCTGCCGCCTCTTAACTATTCATTGTTGAAAAAGAACAGAACGATTATACAATTAAATATAAACGGCATGATTTTAATCACTCAATATAGAACTGATTGTTAATCAATTCGTATTACATGCAATAGACTAATATGCTATTTAGTATTCATCAGATTTTTTCTTTTGTACTGTATTTATAATGTGTTAGATTTGTTGACTAACATATGTCGAGGCTCTTGTTTACTTTTTAGTGTTAACTCGCAAATAATGCCATGGCGACCAATTAACCCATAAGGCCCATGTTAAATTTCTAAAAGTTTGCATTCATGTAGGGAAAAGTCCTATGGTCCGATTTGTACCATTTCAGATTTATACCTTCCCATGGTTGGGTACTATGACTGTGTTAAATTTCGTGCAGATCGCTTCAGCCGTTCAGGAGGAGTATTTGTAAAACAAAAGCAGGAGTGTAGTATAAGAGCTTCGCTCGCTTCACTCGCTCCGCTCAATAATTGCAGATGAAAAGAACTCTGCGTTACGACCAGCTGAAGGCTGGACAAGGAAGTAATAGTGTTATTTCAAGTGTCACCGAAAAAGCTAATGATCGTTTCTGACTATTATTGCAAAGTAACAGTGTTTCCCATCTCTGTTGCAGACTTGTTGTTCCTGGAAGGCAAGGAAGTGTTGTTCCGTGTTGCCATGGCTCTGCTCAGCCATCACAAAGAGGGTCTTCTCAACTGTGACAACTTTGAACAGATCATGAACTACTTTAAAACCAACTTTCCTAAAATAGACAAGCCCATCATGGATAAAGTACTTAAAGAGGTGATTATTTCTGGTGTGACTGTTTCATATAGCTTGTCATTTTACTTTTGCAATTGATTATTGTGCATAGCTGAATGGTTATAGTGTAAGAAATCAGATAGACCTACTAGTTTAATTGTGAGAAAAGTCAATTGCTTTTTGATGGCTTTAAACTGGACCTCATTGTACTTGAATATTGAAGTCTAAATTATGATTCTGATTAATTAACCAAATAAGATACCATTTTACCTTGATTTTGTCTATTAAGTCCTTAACCTCCTCTAAAGGGGGGTGACGATAGTTTTGGTGACTATGTCGCCTTTGCCAGATACTTGTCAAGAATGACAAGCTTATCCCGTGTTGAGGTCATCCCTACTATAAAAAACATTTAACCTATGAGCATTAAGTCAAAACGACATAGTCATTGAAACTATTGTCATCCGCTCTTCAGTTTGAGAATCACTTGACAAAATCAAGGTAAGTTCAAGGGATTCAAGACTACACAAAATTAAGCAGCCAAAAAATCTGATCTAGTGAATAATAATCCTAGTAACAAAAGTATTTACTCCATTAGTGATCAAGATTGTTTCCAGATTAAAATGCCGTTTATCTTTGGCTATCAATTAATGACGCTGTCTAACTATAAGTTGATGTTGAAAAGTAACAATACATCAAGCTCTGTATTTGGACTGTAAAAATATATATTTAGGTAACAAAGGCGTAAATATACACAAAGTAATAAATAATAATAAAATAGTATCAGCGTTGTTTGAATTCAAGTCCTTAATCACACCTTGTGTTTTCGACAGGTTTTCTACTCCGACATATCCAAGAAACTGTTGGAGTATGAAGTGGAGTATCATGTGCTCCAAGAGGAAGTTAATACTCCACGACCGGAGGTGAAGAGAATCAAGGAGCTGGAGGAAGCCAACAAACAACTCCACATACAGAACAGATGTTTGTCAGAGCAGCTTGAGGTAATCAATAACATAGTGACTTTATAGTAGGGATTACATTCTTGCAGGTAGCAATAATGTCAAACAAAACCAATTTGCACTGTAAAAAAAATAATAATGGGTAAAAAAAAACAAAAGTGTCAAAAACTGTTAGGTGAAAAATGTCATTTTTTGAGCGGAGCGAGCGAAGCGAGCGAAGCTCTTTGGGATCAACTTCAATGCAAACAATATAACACCATCACTCAATAACGGCTGAACACATTTCAGCCAAACTTAACAAGACTACTTAGACTAATAATAAGATGGTTTGTAAACAAACAAATTTCAATTAGATAATGCTAATGCAATTTAAAACGAACTTAAAATTTCAAATTTTTAACATTAGGCTTATGGGACTAAAGTAGCTATGACATTTTTTTTTTTTACACGTAAAATGTAAACAAGAGAATCATAAGGTATTTCTGAACTTTCTATACTTTTCTTTTAAACGTTTTTAAACCATTCCTATGATTTCAATAAACAAGAAAATGACGTTAAAACATTTTTTTAAGGCACGGAATTCACAGAAAATCGAGAAAATATACGGAACTACGTTCTCAATGCACGGAGCATAAACAAAGAGCGGAGGGATACGGACCGGTGACTACTTTCTTGGGAGCCTATTTGTGTTGCCAGCTGATTAGAAACAGCCAATGTTAGAAATCAGGATTTAATAAGTGATATATCGAACCGCATCGAAATCGGTATTTAATCCGATAATACCTCATAGGTTATATGTTTTATCTATGGTTATATTATGTTGAATTACATCGACGGTACAGTAAGTTATTACACTTATTGATAAAACGCAGATTGAACACTGATCTAATTTAGGCATGTGGGGAGGTAGGTCGGGGTTTATGAGTATTCGTGACTACATTAAGTGTTTTGAAGTAAGGTTAGATTAGGAAGGTAAAGTGTAGGCTATAGGTAGGTGATCAGGTTGTTTATTTGTGTTGCACCATATAATTTTTATCTTTTTGGAATGGAATAGTTGGTTAAGCTCTTTGGGATCAACTTCAATGCAAACAATATAAAACCATCACTCAATAACGGCTGAACACATTTCAGCCAAACTTAACAAGACTACTTAGACTAATAATGAGATGGTTTGTAAACAAACAAATTTTAATTAGATAATGCTAATGCAATTTAAAACAAACTTAAAATTTAAAATTTTTAACATTAGGCTTATGGGACGAAAGTAGCTATGACAGTTTTTTTGTTTACAAGTAAAATGTAAACAAGAGAATCATAAGGTATTTCTGAACTTTCTATACTTTTCTTTTAAACGTTTTTAAACCATTCCTATGATTTTAATAAACAAGAAAATCTCGTTCGTTATAATTTAATCTACTTTTGCAAGAGGTAGCCTATCTGAATCACAACAAGATGTAGTCAAGCAAGAGGTAAATTATTATAATTTTAATCAATAAAACAAGCATTAGTACATATATTGTTTTTTTTTATTTAGTTAGTTACACAAATATTAAAACAAGTTTTCTCCGCTCAACTGGCTTTCACCGCTCTGAAAGCAATCCTAGTGTAAAATTAATTGTGATGCATCAATCTAATAATAAAACACTGCTAGTTAACCACAGAAAAGGCATTAAAACCAACTGTAACTATTTTGTTTAACATTCCCGCCTCAGCAAACCTGCTGACTAAGTGAAATTTGATTTTCCTGATCGGATTTCCACTGAAGTATTCCCTTAAACAGGTTAGATGTAAATCCAATTTAAATATCATTAGGTTTAGTGAGTGATGCACTCTTAAACTCACACTTTTCTTAGTTTAAAATGTTGTCAGTGACAGTGAAATATTTTAATGTCTTGTATTTCTTGTTTCTGTTAGAACTCTTTCCCATTCAGATAAGCCTGCTACTCTTACAACAATCCAAAAACCTACGTCCTTGTGCTCTATGTTACATCCTTTTACACTAATTTTCTATGTTACAGATCTCTACAAGCAATATTAACAGACTGGAGACGAGTAGATCATCACACATGATGCAGATAAATAGATTAGAGTCCCAAGTTAGAAGCTTGGAAGTGACAGTTTCCACACTGGGGGATTTTATAACCACTCTCGCCTACAACAATACAGATCTAGAAATACCTGGAGAGATCCTTCGTATTATTGCCCAGATACATGTTTCTGAGCGGAAGAGTTTACCAAACAACGTTCTCCGTCCTGGGATCCTCAATCGGAATATGCCACTTAAAACTATAGACGACAACAGAATCAGTCCGCAAAAAGATACAAAAAAGAGTCCGCGACCATTGAAATCAACTCTCAGTTCCCCCAACTTGGAACCCAAGACATCCTTTTTCGCACATTCGTTCAACCAGATTAACCAACAGAAACTAGGAATATCTGATAAAACGTCCCCCCTTAATGGGATGAAACATTCACGTTCGGATTCAAGCAGTGTAAAACAGCTGTTGTATAGTGAAAGTAAAGAAATTATAGGAGAAATCGAAACAGAAAAACCGAGGTTGGGTAGAGTTTTGACAGACAATGATAGGAAAGCCTTAGGATTGGTTGATTCGGATTCGTTCGTGAAAACAAATTCGATGCCTTCAACCGATGGGAAGCGAAAGATATTGAAAAGTAGTCAAAGCTCGTACGAATTGGGGAAGTCAGAATCGGTTTCTGCCGTGTCCGATTTGCTTCCGTTGAATTCTGACACGGTCAACATTTGTTTCGGCGGAACTACCAAATTGAGACAGATCCGACCGCTTAAAGTGAGAAATGAAAGTTGTAGCAGTATACCCAGTCAGTCTTCAAGCACAGGATCACTTTTTGAGGGTTGTCCTCTTCCAAACAAGAAAATAGAACTACAAATCGTCGAACCTTCAGATATCAGCTGTACAAGTCGATCCGTGTTTGAGGAAAAAGCTGACAATTCTCTCTTCAGCGAAAAACACCTGAGGCAAAATAGCTTTGAAAAATCTAGAGGGAAAGAAGCAGAAGAAATGATTAAGTCTCAAGTGCCTGCGAAACAGCCGAGTCTTCTAACTTGAATTAAGATTATTATATAGTAAGGTGCTTACCTATTCCTGTGCCAAAGTTTAGTAAGCAACTGTAGTACCTTATTAGCAATGACAAATGCTTAAGTATTATATTCTCAAAGTTAGGAATCTCATCTTCAAAAAGTCTACAATCCTTTCATATTTTCTATTATGTACTTAGTGTTTGACACTGGATTTTAAAAAAGATTATTGCAGTAAACGATGTGTTCAGTTCGTAGACATATCAGTCAATTACTAGTTGACATATTCTGACTATCATACCTTGATTTTTATTTGAACACTTGACACTTCAAAACATTGTTTCCAGACTACCATCCTGCTTACCAGGCCGAGAAAATCTTGTTTTATCCTGCTTTAAAATAATGTTAAATCCTGTTTTATCATACATGAATTTAGTAAAAAAACCGGTTCAATCCTGAGTAATCTTATTGATGTATTATTTTATTATTTTAAAATAGTTCTTTTTAGCCTTGCTATAATGAATGCATATAGGCCTATTAAAATAATTGAACCAATAAACTGGTATCTGAAAATCAATATACTTACTTACTGATAGAACGTCGCTAATCTCTGTAGATCTTTTGCCTCGTAGATTAGCCGCCTCCACTTTTCTTTATCTTTCGCCATCCAAATTTCTCCTTTGCATTGGATCACATCCTTCTTGACTTGGTTATACCATAGATAAAACATACTCCGTTATACCATCTTAATTTATAAAAACAAAATGGAGTATCAGCGCTCAAAAATGAATCTTGTTTTATTCTGCATCACATTTTATTCTCATGCAAGGCCTAAAAAAATCCTGTTTTGGGACTTAAGTCCTGCAAATACACTGCTTTAAAGTTGTCTTCCTAAGCAATAAAAATATGCATGAATTTTTATAACCTTTTGATTTTAATGACAACTAATTGTAACTTAGTGTCTGTTACTATGCTTATCAAATGCTAATTTAGTACTGTAGTTAATTAATTATGTTATTCCTCTAATACAACACCAATACATAATAAGTAGAAATATTTTTCTAATTTTAATTTATAGTATATATCCTCATTCATGATTACTCAGAACTCATCAAAATCAACTTTCATAAACTACCTGTTCTTAATATAGGTTTAATATCCATTTATCAGTACTTTTTATAAACGTACATAATAGGCCTATTTTTTAGTATTATTTTGTCGAGTATTGATCATTATATAAAATACGATCCGTGGCAGCTTGATGTTACTTTTAGATGCTTTAAGCCTTAATAAATAATTTAGATTATAGATTTAGCTGTTACTACAGTATTGTGATCTTCAGTAGCTTAATGTTAGATGAGTGAACGTCAAAGCTAGTCCAGTTTTGCATGGAATTTC